TTCTCACCGAACAGGAGGTATTGTAAAAGTAGTTTTTTCATTTACAGAAACTTGATTATGTCAGTCATCTTGAGACTTTGGCGTTAAACGGAAGAAATTTAATTCATCCATTTTGAATTTCCATCTGCAACATAAAAATTTATTGTTAAAGTACGAGGAATATAAAATTTCTGCGAAGAATATCGAAAACATCACGCATTTCTTTATCTTTCAGCGTCAGCATATAATAATCGAATTTGCTGTAGTCTTCTATTCTTATTGTCGATACGTCGGATATTTTTGTATTAGTTCTCACATTTATAACACTTTCCTAGCTTTGATTCATTTATTAGATAGTTAGCGATTATAGATCAGTTTCACTAAGGCTTAATTAACCACTTCAAAGTGTAGTCACACCGAGTACCATGCTAAAGGTTTTGCCAGATTAAAACGGATGCAGGAAATTTCCCCTGACAATGAAACGGTCATTTATATCAAATACAGTTCCCAACTAGTCCGACCGGGTGAATAGATTTCTGTCATGCCAATCCAACTCTTTGTACATCTTGCCTTTAGATTGCTATCTGTTCCGGTCGATGCATATTTATTTGACCCAGACCCTTTGGCAGCAATGAATGGAACCGCATCAGTTTGATCAAAAGGTACTCTAAAGTTGTAACAATAAAAAGAAAAATATAGCGATACAAGCGGATAAACCATTTGATAATGGAGCGGTGTATTCACTTCTGGTTCCAATATATGAGACTGATGACAGTGATGATACTCAAAGACTTCAGGCAACGCATACAGACTTACATAGTTCTGTAGTCAACGAAGTTCAACTTTAATCACCCCAACCAACTTCTTGGAGAAACTATGGAAAGACGGACCCCCCCCCTTGGCTCTTAAATCGCGATCTCGCATCTAAGATGGAAGAAGCGAAAACGTGACTCGGACACAACCAACGAGTATGTTCAATTAAGTTCACTTTTTTACTTAAATTTTAAGTTCTACCAGGTATCCAGAAAGGTACGTGCTGTTTTTCATTTGTTATTGTTTTATTAAAACAATATGTTATACAGATGTTAATCAACATTTCTATTTGCATAGGAGATTAATGTTTACACCCCGTAATCCCAACATGATAATTCTTAAAGAAAAAGTACCTTAAACAATTCACTATATATTTTATTATTGTATGAATTTAGGCGACTAGTGAAGCTTGTAAAATTTGCACTGCGTTCAGTGATGAAACAATAAGTAAGCGCACTGCCAAAATTGGTGCAAAAAGTTGGCTTCTGGGAACGAGGGGATTAAAAATGAACCACGGTTTGTTAGAACTTATATCTTGAATCACAACGAATTGAGGGACGCTATCGAACTTGATTCGAATAAAACATATCACGAGAAGCCAGTGTTCAACGGAAGCGATGAAAACATTCACTCAAGCTTACATTGACATGGGAAAACGAGGAAGCTGAGCAAACGGATTCTTCATAAATTGGCCAGCGCTAACAAGCTTCAGTGTATAACATTTGCCTTTCATTGCTTTCACGGCACAAAGTAGAGATGTTTTTTGACCTAATGACATGCGACGAAAAATAGATCCTGTACAATAATACAGGAGGTCGTACCATTGGCTGACACCAAATGACCCCAATAGATGTGACAACCAATTCAAAAAACTGGTCTGTGCACTACCTACCTAACTCCTACCACGTACCCAGACCATCACTGCAGACATATACTGAAGCCAACTGCAACTTGTATCTCTTGCCCTGGCCCAGAAACAACCTATCAGAAACAGAAAAAAGTGTCATTTTTCACCAGGGCATCGCGATACCTCATCGGTTGTCACGAGAAGAAGACCTACCACACCCTCGGTACTCTCCGGACTTGGTACAATCTGTTTTCACCTTTTCTTAGCAATGGACAATTTCGATAATCGCCGCAATTAGGTGAAATCAATTTTAAGTCCCGTGGCCCAAACGTTTATAAGAAGGGCAAGTTACACGTTGGAAGAAGGTTACAGACGCCGATGGAGACCATATTCCGAATAAAATATTTTTAAACTAATTTTAATTGTGACAACACCCTTTAACCTACACGAACATTTCTGGGTACCTGGTACGTTCAGTGCTCATTTTAAAACAATAAGAAACCAGGTACTTTATTTATGGTATAGTTAGTTATAGTTTAATTTACTGTGTATAGCACTTTACTTATAGATGAACGGTATTAAAAAATCCAAGAAATCCGTGGTAATGTTTTATTTTTTGGAGGTTTGAGCTATTGGCCAATCTTCAGCAACCAAACTGGGAAATTTTGGAGATGAGTGGCTACCAGGAAAGATTTTGGTCGAAGGTAAACCCCGAAGTTTTTATCAGTGGAGCAGAGGGAAATAGGCTGGTTGTTGTTGGTGATAGGAAGGATCGGGAAGAGATTTGCGGAGGTGACTGGATCTTATAACAATGGCTATGTACTTCTTAGCATTTAATTCTATGTTGTTTTTACTGGTCCCATTCGTTTATGGAATTCAGATCTTCCTTAATTCTGCGGATAGCCAAATGTAGATCTAAGGGATGGAAGGACTTAAAAAATTTGGGAGGCGTCGGCATAGAGGTGGTAATTGCAATGATGAATGGAGTCGAGGAGATCATTGATGTAAATGCTGATCACAAGAGGGGATACAAGGGTACCATCGAAGGGTAATGTTGGAAAAGGAAAGGGATTCAAGTTTGGATAGAATTGATGAATGATCGACGGAATCAAAGGCTTTTATAAAGTCAAGGAGAATTAGTTTCGCAATTTTTTGTTGGTCAATTGCGGTGTGTAGGTCACTAGTAATTTTAACTAACGCGGATTGGATGGAGAAACAATGTCGGAAGCCGGATGTGATGCTATAAAAATAAAAGCCTAAGGCAGATTCAATTTTTTGGTTCTAAGGCATTCAAAAACAAACCGACTTCATACACGGTCAGAATAAAAATAACAGATATCAATGTTTCAACAATTACAGTGTTTGGCCATAAAACTTGAACCTTGTGAATTGACTCTTTTCCATTTCTATGGCATACTGTTGTTACAACTGAAATGTTCTGTTTGAAAAATAAAGTTCATAAAAGTTTAGACCCGACCTATGACAGGACTGGGGTGAAAGATGCTTTGGGATTATATGATCACAAAGCCACTGGATATGGCCGTATGCAAATTTGATGTTTGACCCAAAAATCCGTTTGACAAAAGCCATGAATTAATAATGTCAACCCGTTTTAAGTAAATATTGTCCTGAAAGCAGGGGACTTATTTTTCTAATACTTCTTCACTTAATTACAGCATACGTTAAACGATATCGTTATGCAACAAACATTTCATTAAATTGAATGATTTTATACTTTATTTTTAAAAAATTGCTTTAAAGAAAAACAGTAGTAGTAATTCCTGTCATAGAGGAAGGCAATCATTGGCTGTCGTCTTCTCAATTAAAATTCTATGAGGCGGTGCCGAACGTCGAGCAATATGGCAAATATGAGTCGGCCAGATAGGGAACGACTTGGCACAGCCTGTGGAATTTTAATTGGCAATAATATGTAAAAAGGTATTATGAAGTGATTTGACCTCTTGTTAGCGATACCAACGGGTAGTTAGACGAAGCCGTGCTGCATCACAGAAATAACTTTTCTTCATTTTAAAAGAGAGCAGATGTGGGTGGGTGGCTGTCTCCCACATAGATAATGGGGGTTTTGTCTGCCCTTAATTCGATTAGCAAGATGTGTCTTACCATTCACAAATATGAGCGAAAAACAACCGGTCAATCTTCCCGTTTACACTGTCACGTCAACTTACTAAATCAAAACTAATAAAACCTATCCATTAAAACGTTTTTTCAAAGTGAACTTTGCCAAAAACATACTGCATGATAAAAAAGTACCTAATTAGTCATTTAAGATGAATTTACATTATTTTTTACATTCGCATGACTTACCTAAAAAAATATTAGCGAAAAAGCACATATTTTGCGACATTAGCATTAAAAGAGAATAAATGGACATTGATGGTTACATAGGATATGTACACATGGGAAATTATCCTTAACAACATCGGTCCTACCTATACGAAATACAATTAATCAACATGACAGCTAAACTAATCTATTAATTTTTGAACAATGACTTGTTTTTACAAACAGATCCTATTTCTTTTATTATTATTGAGAAGACAACAATGTGCTTAGTATTTACTTTAATTCTTTGTATATATTTTCGTTACTATACAAATAAATGGAATTCATGTGTATTAGACAAAGCTTATCGAAACTATTATGTGGAAAAACTATATAGTTAATATTTGGATTAGGGGGCCGTCGGTGGCCGCAACGGAGGACGTTGACACGGCGCTCATCAATGTAAGGTAAAGGTCCCGGGTTCGAATCCAGCGGCCCTGCATTCAAACCCGACATATGGTGGTACAACCTATTTAATGGATTCGTCTACACTCGCAGGTTTCAATTCACTCAAAGCGTTTTGACTTTGCGCAATTTTCAGTGAGAAACCCAGGACTCACCGACTGACTAACCATCATCCACTATCAACTAATATGTAAACTATTATTACTTTAATTAAACTATAAAACAATCTGAAATATTAATTTAAAATAGCTTCAATATTTATTTTTTATGGTATGTTAAAATATACCTAAAATTACTACAAATGAAAACTGATCAAATTATTTACCACCCCCACCTTGAAATTATTGAAACTTGATGCATTATGATAGAACGTACAGAATTTGATATATTTTGGTACAAAGGTCTTACAATATTACTGCACATAATACATGATTTATTGACTTGGGACGGATCCTAAAACAAAGACCGTTCGATGTTACATTGTTAAAAATTCAAAACCTCCAACAAATAATGATGCACTTTAAAATTCTGTTTTTACTTTGTACTGGGTGTACTACACTATTTTCGTTTTGCACGAACACCCTGTTTAAATTGAAATGTAATCTTTACTGACCGTCACAGTTGCAGTTTCTTCAGACTGGTCAGCCAACTTCGGACTAATAAAATGACCTAAAACAAATTGAAATAATCAAATATACTTATTTGTAGAAAAAAATATATTATTTATATATAGCACTGTGGAGCGATTAGAGAGCTGATTATTGCTTATTGATCTATAATAGAGATTACAACTTATTGGCAGAATGGTCATCGACAGTTCGATGTAATCTGCCAATTTGCTGAATTATAAATTAGTTATATTCTCCTGTAGATGGAAGATAAAAACTAACAGAAAAGCATCTATCTAAAAATAAAAATCCTGGATTTTGCTTTACATTAAACTAAGAAATCGCCCTTCTGAATCTCTTTGTGTGAAAGTAGAAGCAATGAAGGCGAATAATTGGCCATTTAGATTTCAAAGACGTGCAGATCAAGACAGTTAAAAAGAATATGCAATTTAGCTGGGAAAAAACGAGAAACAACTTTTAGATCAAAATTGTTATAAATTGTGAAATTTTCTCATTGCACTAGAATGACGAACTTCTAGTATGACCGTTAGCTACTTTGGTGATCTGGCAAACAGAATTTCTTCTATGTTGAATTTATTATAAATGTGATTTCTGTAATATTTTATTTCAATAATAGAGTAATATTATTATTTTTACTGCTGAAAAGTGACTAATTTTTATTTAATTAGGAAAGAAATAGAGACTTAGGAAGACTTTTAGAACCAAAATCTGTAATGAGCGTAAAAGACCCATATAGGTAACTGAGGTTAACTTAATCCTCAGACGAATTCTCCAAGCTCTTACTACGTCACTGCTGACAACTGGATATTTATTTCGCCGAGGAATCATTTAAGTTCCAGCAGCCAAGCTCCATTGCGATTGCTCAAGATCTCGCAACACTTTCCCATACGGAACCCTCCACGTTGAGAGACAGGTTAGCTTAATTATATTTGACCTCCTTAATATCAGTGCTGTAGTAATCACATCAATTATTACATGCTATAAATAAATTCAAATGATAAACGAACAGTATACTTGCGATTCATTGGATGGGAATTTCTGTCTATCATTTGATGAAATCATTAAATTGTTTGATTGTTCCAGTTATTTTGTTGTTTTTATTTTAATGTTTGCAAGTGAAGGCAGAATCCTATTGAGAATCAAAGATGTGAAGAGGGTTTCCTTTTTGCACGAATGCGGAAGTCTTTTTCCACCACCTGCCGGCTCTTTACTGACGTATGAGCGTAGAAACTGATAACAGCCTATCTTTTCTGATGTTTGACGACTTAAAATCAAATATGCAATTTTATACCAGGGGTATCGTCTGTTACAAAGACTTCGGCATTATCGACCTGTGCTTTCGGGAATCGTCGATCAAAAGCAATAAATAAATTTGGCTTGATAGCGATCTAACGGAAACAAAATAGTCAGGCGAAGAATGCGGAGGGCACCTGTTGTCAAGTCGAACCTATCTTAATCTCTTGGCATTTCCACTCAGTCAATAGGGCTCCAATTTTCCAACGCTTACTTTTCCCTTCCCCTTCAATTTTATTCTCCTCTGAACCGTGCTTCACCCCCTTGTTTCCGAATGGACTTTTCTCCCCTCCTTATTCAACTTTGGCGAAAACCTCTTCGCAAAAGTCACTATCCGTCGCTTTCTTGAATTCCTAATCTTCTTTAATTCTGTATTTTTTCACCATGAAAAAGAGTTCCCTCTATGCTTATTGAACCGAGTGCTCTCCGAATGAACATAATTATATGTTAAATCACATAAGTCATATCAAATCTTCCGCATTGAATCACTCGGAATTCAACTTTGAAAATATTTTATAGAACATTTAACATTTTAATTGATTGTCGAATTCTGATTTTGCATAGATGCAACATGGAAGTTCTACAAAGAACGGATAAGCTCCCCAGTGAGAAGGAGCGTGGAAACTAAGAATCTGTAAGAGGAGAAAATGACTGGGACGACGAAACTGATGAAATGTGAGAGATATGGAGCTTCCAGTACAAATACATTTCTAAGGTTCTTGACAGTGGGACCGAATAGGGTGAGTGTTAATAATAAAACGGATTGAAGGAGAGAACTTGGCCCGACCAAAACAGCCTGGAGCTTTTCTACATATAAGTTAAGGTAATCCATAATGGTTTAGAGGCCATATTTGACCATACTAATTATTCCAATTAATTATTCTTTTCATCTAAGGTTTTTTGTTGAGATGAAAAATTAATGTCATGAGCGGGATTCGAACCCGCGACCTTCGGCTCAATACGCCGCTGATCTAATCACTTGAGCAATCGTGACTTCACTGCTCAAGTGGTTAGAGCAACAGCGTATTGAGCGGAAGGTCGTGAGATCTAATTCCTAAAGTTTTCCTTATTTTGGAAGGAAGTGACATAAACAACGAAAATGCCTTTTTATTTCGACTAATTATGGTTAGTAATATAACATTTGAATTATTATTCTAGGCGAAGGACAGTCCTTTCTATTAAGCAAAATTATTCAAGCAAGAGGGCCACGTAATTTGAGTAAATTTTAATTACAGTTTGACCTACCAAGAGCCAAGTACCAGTGAATATTATAAAATTTCAACACAGTACAAAAGCAAACTTCAAGGTAAGTGATTCATCAGAAACAGTCCAATCAATTAGTTAAAAAGAAGTAAAGTTCTGTCACACAGGAGGACTTAACGTCCCACATGTTGGGTGCGTGAGGGTCAGAAAAGCGTTCAATACCTTGTTCAAATTAATCTATAATACAATTTCAAAGGTTATGCCGCTATTGTATTTCATAGGTTATAACCAACCCTATGAAATACAATTTAATATTTACGAAAACTATAACCCACCGATCTGGATAAATAAGATAACCTAAAATAGCATTAAGAGAATGATATACCAGCCCACAAAACCCCACTTTTTATCATTGATAATAGATCGAATTCCTCCTAGAAGACTAGACCAACAACGCTTTTTAATTGAAAAGGTTGTGCCTATTACTACAATTTGCTACAGTTTACAAAGTGGGCAGCATAACGCTAATTTAAATATATTAACGTTGAAGTTGTGACTTTTTTTATATTTAGAGTCGCCCAGTTTGTCAAGGCTTTAAGTCTATTCCTAACCCGCTTCATTGAGGATTAGTATGTTCAGATCTTTTTTACTTTTTATGATAATTAGCTATTATGAATTTACTTTATCGAGGTTTGTACATTCTCGACCATTTCTAAACTTATTGTTAGACTCGTTATTCGTATATAAAACGTAATTATTGTGGCGGTAAGAGACATGGTAAATTCCATCCATAATTCAACTTTTATATTTTACAATATTAAACAAGAAAGTAACAGGTTTTTTGACCCGTGGAATGACGACTCCACTTTCCTCGACATTCATATTCAAAGCAGTTGACATCCGGCTGTAAACAGGTGTTTATTGAACGCAAAACAGAATACAAACTATGGAAACTCTATCATTTTACAAGGATATTTTGTTTAAATCGTGGAAAATTTGTCGTAAGATGTTTTACGGCTTAAAAAAACACTTAAAAATAAAAACTTTGTTGTCCAAAATTTTTTTTCTATGACCATAGGCTGAAAAAGAGAACAACTATTAACGATCCAATGAAGATGACGAAATTAGTACGGAAATACCTACATTTCTTAGTATGTAGTATGTCAGGAAGTAAGCTTGTATATTGTGCTAACTCCGACAAATAGCATTCGCAAAGTGAAGAAAGGCTAATCTAAAAGCTCACTTTAAAAAAAAATTAAAATACAACTTTCACCAGGGAGACGGAGTATCTAGTATCTACACAAAAAACAAACTCGGCTGAAAGAGAAAAATAGACAATGAAATACAAAAAGCGCAGGTCGTAAAGGCCAAATAAAGTCTGACTTTAATAGAAGGCCACTATAAAATCCTAAAAAGCGTAAAAGTAAATGAAATAGTTACAATAATGACTGGCAAAGCGGAAATAAAAGAAAATTTTAGCAGTCCCTTCTGAATAAAAATAAAAACAAGAAATAATATCCTATGCGATCGACCAACCTATTCTTTCTACTCTTAGCTAGCTAAACTTCGTTAGCCGTTTTCATTTTTCTAACTGATAAGGAATTGCCTAAGTTTATGGGAAAAAATAAAATAAAATTTATGCATCTTATCTTCGCTTTTGTTGTCTTCTTTTTTCTTTTCATGAAAAAAATTTATGCAGAGAAAGCTTGCTCGACCTACCCCTCTTAATTGAAAGGTGCAATTCCTCGGCTCCAAGGCAGCGCATAGAAATGCCACCCGATATGAGATATTCGTCTTGCAGGCAGCGAGTATCTGTGTGGTTTTATTGTATATAGTACTGATAGTCTTGTGAACCTAACATGAATTGAGAGTGAATGAATTTATTAAAGTGATTTTCGTTATTGACGCAAATGCAACCGTTAAACGTTGCACTAATTAGAAAACCAATTGTTGTACGCACCAAACAAGTGAAAGATCAACAAATACAATTGAAGTACTGAAAAAAAACATTAAAAAGCACAGCAGAACAAGATGATATAGGAATATGTTTTAACATATTTGGTTTTCTTCGCAATTAACCGGCTTATTTTTTTTATCATCACATTACATTTTATATCATTATACCATATAATTTGATGTCACATTCAGTACTCTCCGTTACACGTAACACATAAACAAAACAACATAATTAATGCCACATTATATAGTTTAAAAAGATTTTTATTAACATACTCAAAGACTTTAAAAAACAACCTGACACTCGTATTTTGTTGTTTATTACAAATTATATGTATTTTTATCGTTATATTAATTGCAACATACGTATTTTAATGTAAACCAAATTAGATGAGATCAGAAATTCATTTATACGAACAAAATACTATATTGTTTGAAAGAAAATTCACCAAAACATCGGAAAATCATTTATTGGTAGAATGATGTGCTAGTTAATTTTTTTTTTTTTTTTTTTTTGCTAAACATTATTTCCCTCGTTGGGAAGTTATTGTTATTTAAAACGTAATTTTGCCGTTTAGTTGTACATAA